TTTTTTACGACACGTCCAAAAATATTGGCTTCTAGGTTTGATTACTTTGAAAGAAATAGAAAACGGCTATTAGGCACTGGCCACTATGGATCACAAGGGTAAAAAATAAGTAATGTAAGTGCAGTGATGTACAAATCTGGAAACCAGTCTCCTTATTCACTTAGAGTATGTTCTGTCAAGCAGACAACAGTCCTTGCGCAATTACCTCGGAGGATGAAATGCTTGTATGTAATACGCTACTCATAAGGTTACTGATAATTCTCCGACAGCCCACGACCGATTTCCCCCTCCTTGGGTCTCATCAGGTAGGCGAAGTCCCCGATCTTCCGTCAATCTTATGTTTTACGCACTAAATTAGCGACATACACTCATCGTTATGGCACGAGCGGCACACCAACAGTGCGAAAAACTCGGGCTTAGCTAAGACAAACGCAAGATATCATCATCTCATGTCAAGAAGTTGGGCGTTGACTGAGGGCGACTTAGTGACGATTTCTCAGATGAATTGCCCATTCAATATGTCAATAAATTGCCGAATTTTGTAAAGTTCAACAGCGCGTCGTTTATTTTATCTCTGGATTCCTCAACCCGTGTACCCGTCGTTTTCCGTGTACAGCCACACGGGTGCCGCTTTCTCTCAACCAAGATGGATGCTAACAATAATAGCCTGAGTTTAGTTTTTGAGCATTGTGACATTGTGAACAGCAGTCAGCTGAAGCGCATGATACATATAGATTTTCGTTTCCAGTCATCGGCCTCGTAATCTTATGCATTTAATTGGTACAATCTTTAAGGTTTATTAATGTCTTTTGTTACATGACTTTCAAATAGCCCTCTTAGCTGGGTTGATCAGGTGGTCGGATCGATCGACTGATCGGCGACGCTTTGTGATTGGTCTACAGTTTTGTTCTCAGCCTGTGTTGTCCGTGCCCGCCATAGTTGTGGAATATGCGTCAGTTTGCGTGATCCACTCAGTTTGGTGAACACTGAGGAGCAAGTAAATAAATGAATAACGTACCCAATCTTCATCCTTAGGGTTCAACAGTGGACAATCGATTGAAAGTACCGGCAGTGAACCACTTTCTTTTCAAGGCAAGAAACTAGCATTTAGGGAAAGTACTTGCTCCTAATTAGGAAACCGTGTGGGCTACGGAAGACTGATGAAATTCGTGTGGGTGCTCATACATTCTTGGTTTGCGTGCCTTCTTATGGCTTGCTTCAGAATTTCCCGGATAAGCTGAGGTTCAGCGTCTAAACTAATGCTGGTTCGAATCACGCAGATAAACCTTNTCTAAACTAATGCTGGTTCGAATCACGCAAATGTCGTAGACCGCACAATTTATAAAATAAACCTTATATCTCATACCTACAAAAAAATTTTGGCGTGCTAACCAAACTAGGAAAATTCAGTTACCAGAACGCACTAGGAGCCTATCATCTTGAATGCCCCGCTTCTGGGGAAGAGAGCTGTTTTAAGGTAGCTACCTCAATATCACGTGATACGGATGAAAGTGGAGCTTACTGAGTGAGCCGGTGGAGATCGTTCCATCTTAACAAGATAATCACGGAAACGAGAATAACCAAGCCGAAAATATCCTCTGGTTCAAATGTCCTGAACAAAAATCCATCGCACATTTTATCCTAATTTTTGCTCACCACTTTGACCTGGGGGATTGGTCAGGTATTGGTTACAGCTGCGTGTGTTGGAAATGCCGAGAACATCGAAGTGCTAGCGTCCGTAATCCCCTTTTACCAAGACCTCCGTTGAGACTTGGAAACCTGAGAGGTTCCAGGCTAACATGATGTGCATTTTGGCCACGGAATTGGCAGTCTGCTTCTTCAGTTACGTTCCATTTTTTTTCAAGCATTAATTTGTCCACTGATCCGTCCTGTGGTGATTTTGCCCGCCACATGCGCTATTACCACACCGATTCACCCAAACTAAACTACGTGCAATCGACGGAAGTTTAGCAACACGAAATTGTCAAATAAGTTGGATAAATGGAACGGACCTGAACAACAGATGACATGATCAGCAGCAGCAGCGGCAGGAAGCGGTGAAACTCCTTAGTGTGTCAGTACGAAAGATCAGTCGATCAACAGTGATGTTAGACGATAAGCCAACTATCAAATATAACTGATGTCGGTCCAAATTCAAAAAACCTTTATTCACTTTCACACATCATGACTCAGATCATAGCCAGTCATCGGAAATGACTATAAAATATCTGCAATTAAATTTCCATTCAAGTACATGACTTAAAAGACTTCAGTGCCTGAAAACATCACAAACGAGAGGTACAACTGCGTTCCAGACGAGTCTCTGGAAGAACCAAATTAGTTCGCAAATGAGTGTACATTCGCTAATTTCGTGCAATTTAATTTCAAGTAGAACATCAGGTTGACGGAAACCCGGGGACTGCACCTACCGGATGAGCCCCAAAAAGGGCGAAACCGGTCGTGGGCTGTTGACGGATATTCAGCAACCTTATGAGTTGTACATTACAACGATACACACGTATCGCGATATCTCGAATATCGTAGTGGATGAAACATGAGGCGACCTGATGCAGCACATTCAGTTGCCTGAGAACATCACAAGCGAAGGGTTCAGCTGGGTTTCATGTGAGTCTCTCGAAGAACCAAATTAGCTTGCAAATGAGTGTATATTCGCTAAATACCAGAGTGTATATTTGCCGCTCCGAAAGTCCGAGTTCAATACCCATGGATTTGTTTTGCAGAAAATGTGAAAGCCAGGATATATCCTTTCACGTATTTCAAGCATTAACGTCCCTAATGATTGTTCTTGACCTGAAACGCGGTACATATTCAACTCATTCTTAAAAATGCATTCTTTTTAAAAAAGAAACGGAATACCCTACAACCTTGAATAGCAACAAATGCGACAGAACAGGCCAAAAGTCAACCGTGACTTACTCGGGTATTCATAATCAAGGTAACGATCCCGTCGAGTAAACTGTGTTCCATTAGCATTGAAATCGTCCCCATTCCAATAACCACAACAATTGAGCTGAATAATTGAATAATTGAAAAAAATGTGGTGCATTCACACCTGACATGACACCTGCATGACACCTGCTAAATGTTTGTAGATTCTTTGTGAAATTTTATTGCTACTTAGTAGTGTTTGTGGGGTAAATACTAACTATATTGCTATGTATGTCAAAAATCAAACAGAGTTAATGATAATTTTATGTCTAAATTTGAGAAAGCAAATACTCTGTCTAACGAAGATTGTCTTTGCTGCCACCACAACAGGGCGAAAGTTCTTTACTTCGCGATGGAAAGACAAAATCTGTGCTAGTATTCTCCAGCAGCCCCAAAAAATAATAAGCCTTTAGACTAATATACTACCCGTTGAGGGTGTTTGTGGAAATCACACTGCTTTTCGCTAATATGGATAAATATCACCCTCGGAAATCGCCTACTGGATTGTTGTGAAACGGTGATTAGGAATTTCACTCAAGTCTGTGTGAACACAAGGGGGCACCTGGGATCATGACATTCCTGTTTGCACTATTCGCTAAAATTCACCACCATTCTGCAGAAGTTTTGTCAAACATCGTCTTTCATGAGCACAGAAAAGCGCTCAGTAATCCAACAAATACATATCCTGTCCAACATCCCTCATTCGCGAATAGTTTTCAAGTTCCATACTGAGCTGGCCACAAAGTAAACTCATATCACTGGACGCTGGCAAACTAGTCACACCAAGTTGCTACTCAAAGATTCACGACCGCCATATATTTCTCAGTCTTTGTGACTGACTTCCATGAAGAAAATGAAAGTCAACATCTACCGTCTACCGGGATTTTTGGCCATAGAGTTAATCTGTCTGACGATTAGCTGTGTGAAACGGAACCGTAGAATCGTTTCGGTGCATAAGGTCGAGTGAATCTGTATCACAACGCCGAATCATCTAGGAGACGGTTGCTCATATGCTTATCAATGCATTCCGCCCGCATCAGAAGATAGATAGGATAACTTGAGAGCTCATGACTCCTTGAGGAGTAAGTCGATAAGTGTTCACCTGATGTGGCTTTCTGCTTTTGCAGCATGGGTGGTGCGACGCTCTGCCCAAGAGCTAATCAAAATACTGACAAGTGACTCTTGGACAACCGTTCAAGTGTCCCACCCTTGGCCGGGCTGTCGCGGGTTCAAAACTGTGAGTTTCTTGCACTGCATAGGAATGAACCAGCTTTAGAAAGGCTCTCGGTTTCTCAGCTCTGCAACATACTTGCCCATACGTTATACAGTGAGATACGCTCCAAAGACTAAGGTGTTTCAACAGCCTGTACAATATATTCCGAATGACTTTCCTGTGTTTTGCCGGCGGCTTTGGAGAAGTCAAAAGTAAGTATGACCATCACCATCTTGAACCACATTGTTGATCACACCCAATGATTCTAATGGGCATAGCTGAATGCAAACTTTCAACCGCACTAAGACTCCTTCATTCAGAATTCAAAGAATTTAGGTTCTTGTCTACAAATTCGAGTGCTCGATTCATATTAAGGTTACATAATCCGAATCTACTGGTAAAGACTTCATAGTTTAAGTTCACTGGGATCACACTGCCTGAAAGATCTCATATCTTTTTTTCCGTTATTACGCAATCATTTGCAACTTAATGTATTGGAGTGAAATCAATTATTGAAAACTCTGATTGCCTACGTAGCTTCCAGTTTACCGGGTGAACCTTCGGAAGGTTTCTACATTTCGATCTATTCGAGGGCGTGGGTCGGAATGTCCACCTGCATTGTCAGGTATGCAAGGGGCTCGGTTGTATGTTTAGGTACTCTGGCGCCTCAGTACTTCTAAGAATAACTGACATTGTATCATTTTATCTTGGTAGCAAGCAGTACTACACGCCATGCAAAGATCATCCCATTCCCCCAAACCTGTGTTTACAGTATCGCTTGCGATATCGACCGTTCCATGGTTAGTAGGTTGTCATTTGATATGCCTTCTTCCCGTACTTGTCTTCAAATCGAGTAATGAACCTAGAAGATCAGCAAATATATATTCACCTAATATGAAGGCAAATCTTTCAATATTTTTTGGAACATACCATGAACATGAATAACCCGAGCGTCCAACTGTCTTTATCATTACTTTCAAGGGATTTGTATTTCATGACAAGGTTCTGCACCGTGGCGTAGCTCGAATTCAGAAACTGGTAAGATTGCCAGAAAACAAGGGAATCAGGAAGTGAACAAAAGATAGGTTTAGCTACCCAAAAGGAACCAAAAAGTTAACGCCTTAGAGACACGTAATCTCTATGCAAATGGGGATAGGCGAAAGCAAAATGCAACCTTTTAGAACTTTTGGTGTACTGATAAACAGCCACATAATTGCCAACATTCTACGCTTGCTTCGAATTTGGAGCACAAAAGGCTGGCTGACACTGATTCTTTTTTTTTCAAATATGGAGTTGATAAATACAAAAATACAGAGGATTCACAGAATTTATTACCGCAAACATTTTATCAATGACATTTTGCAGGAATGGAATTTTCAAAAGATCGCAAAATTCATGTTTTCTTGAAGCCCATCATTTTTTGACAGCTCAGCCCAACACAAAACAACTTTCACACACTTTTTAACTTGAAAAACAATCTACCTAGATCACATCGAGAGGTAAATAGTTTTTTCTGTTGTATTCCTATGCAGAAAAGGAACAGAATCTTTCCACCAACTAGCTGAAATGTATGTGCGCTTCAGCTACATCCGTAGTTGGTTTTCAAGTCAGTGTAGTATGACATAGCAAATCTTCCGCCTGATTTTTGAGCAAACGTTCATAATGGAATATATATTTACGTATGTATATAAATGTATATATTTATACATATATTTATATGTATTTATATATACACATATATATACACATATATATATATATAATTTGAA